CAGTCCCACCCATGAGTAAGACATGCTACACTCAAGCCAGGCATGGTGGCACATACCTGTAATTCCAGCACTTGGGAGGCTGAGGCAGAAGGATCACCCTGAGTTCGAGGCCAGCCTGGGCTACATAGCGAGACCCTGTCTCAAAAAACAAGACAAAAACAAACAAACAAAAACACATGCTAACTTCTACAATAGATCCTTCCCCATGTGAACCTTTTAGTTGTAAAATTTCTAAGCATGCAAAAGAATTGCAAAAAACCTCCCCAAAACAAAAAACTCTACAAGTTATATCTACATAGCATTGGTATAGATTCACCACTTTTTAACAATTAGCCATGTCAGGGCTGGGGATTTAACTCAGGGGTTTGGCTGCCTGCTGCGCAAGTGCAAGGACCCTAGTTTGATCCCTGGTACCAAAAAAGACAAAAAACAATTAGCCATGTCTTTCGCTTTCCCTATATCCATCTACTCTTATCAATAAAGCATAGATATCTATAAGCTACATAGACATCTACCTGGGCTTTTGGACATAAGCTACTATATTGCTATCTATAAGCAGTTCTCAAAGGGATCTCTCTTTGTCTCTTTCTCGCTAGGTATGTGTACAGATAGCTAGAGAGAAACAGAGATGCATTTTGACAATTGTGTGCAGTTATTTTGTGACATTTCACCCCAAATATTGCAACAGACTTTCCCCAAGAACAAGGGCATTCTCCTATATATCCACAATTCCATTATCATATCCAGATACCTTAGTTAGCGAGTGCTTCTTTAGGGCCCTCAATTGTGCCACTGACATCCTTGACTTGGTACATCGGCACCTCCTAACCACTGCCCAGCTCATGCTCCTCCTCTGCTCTGAGTCATTATCTTCTCCCACCCCCTGCAGCACCTTCACAGGATCCCTGCTGGCCACCCTAAAATCCATTCTCCTCGAAGCAGCTGGAGCAAATCTCATCATCTTAGTTACCTTCCTCGTCACTAAGACACAATACCTGACACCCAGAACTTAACGAAGAAGAGGTTTCTCTGCCTCATGTTCTAGCCCATGGTCGGCTGGCTCCAAGGCAGAACAGCATGGCACAGGGGCCTGGTGGAGGAATGGCTGCTCACCTCACGGCAGACAGGAAGTGGAGAGTGTCAAAGGAGGAGCCAGGAAGGAAAGTAGCCCCTTCTGGGTCATATCCACAGTGTTCTGCTTCCTCTGATCACACTCTCCCTCAACTGTAGCACTGGAATAATCCATTCCCCTTACAGAAGCCCCAGTGTCTGATTGCACCAAGCTTTGGGTGGACATCCAGATACAAACCATAACACTCACCAACGAATCAGTTCATGTCTCCTCACTGAAAACCCTGCAATGGCTCCACATCATTTGTAGACAAGAAGACAAACCCCTACCATGGCTTCCAAAGCCGAATGGATGTGGCCCACCATACTCTTCCACCTCACCTCTGACTGCCTTCCTTGCCCCGGAAGCCCAGGGTCCCACCTCAGGGCCTTTGCATTGGTGCCTTCCCCTGCCAGAACACCATTCCCCAGACGTGGCCATGACCCCTCACTTCAATCAAGTCTGACTAAATGCTGTCTTCTCAGGGAGGCACTCCCTAGCCATCCTGCCTAAACCTTGACCCATCACTCCACCTCCTTCCTCTACATCAGTGGTTTTCACAACAATTAGCCCAGATGGGTGTGGTGGCGCACGCCTGTAAACACCCCCCCCCACACACACACTCAGGAGGCTGAGGCAGGAGAATTGCCATGAGTTTAAGGCCAGCCTGGGCTACATAGTGAGTTCAAGGCCAGCCTGAACTACAAAGCAAGACAAAAAACAAAATAAAACAAACAAATGCACGGCCCAAGCAACCACCATATCACACATCTGTTTATCCTCTCATTAGAACATCAGCTCCTGGGCCAGGGATTTAGCTCAGTGGTTCTGCCACCTACCTCATAAGCAGAAGGACTGGAGTTCGATCCCTGGTACCAAAACAAAACAAAACAAAACAACCAGCTCCAGCTGAGATCAGTGGAGCAGAGATTTTTTCTTTCTTCTTACTCCACTGTGCCACTGAGGTATTGTTGGGTCCTGGAGCACTGCTGGGCAGATGGCAGGTGCTGTAGAAATACTTCTTGAATGAATGGATACCGTACTTTCCCCTAGTGTTGCCCCAATGGGAACCTGAGTTCCCTGCAGGCAGGGTTTGTGTGAGTCTTTGTAGGATCCACACTCAACAACTGATAAAAAGAAGTATTTGAAAATGCTTCTAAAATGAAAAGAATGGTCATGTAACAGAAAATAGATCAGCACTTGCCTGAGGCTGAGGATGGACATCTTTACAGCGTGACATTAATGTTCTAAAACTGAATTGTGACGAGGGCTGCTCAACTGTGAAATCTCCCCAAATTGTTAAGTCATTTAAAATGGATTTATGATAAGTAGATTATACCTTAATAAAGCTGTTAAACAAAACAAAATAAAATGTGTGTAAGGGAGTAATACTCCGGGGATGCTGTCTACTTAGGTCAGGCAGGGCCTCTGAGCCCCACTCGGTGACTGGCCCCAGGCGACATGGGGCCAGAGTGGTGACCACGACGGCACTGGGCCCTGGATTGAGGGCTTCCCTTGGGGAGGCGGGAAAGCCGAAGCCATTGCAGACAGTGTGAGGCTAGAGGGGCCAGGGATGGGCCGGAGAGCGCAGGTAGGGGTTTGGGGATGGAGTGGGTGGGGTAGGAGCAAGGCAGAGGGACCCGGAGGCGCAGACAGGCCCCCAAGAGCCCAGGAACCCAAAGGAGGAGCCTGATCCAATCGAGGAGGACTTCCTAGAGAAGGAAACCGCTGGGCCACGGCCTGAAAGATAATTTTCTTCACGGCTGCGACACCCGATTTTCTGTCTGCCTTCACACCTTGGGGCCAGGCTAAAAGCGGAGCCTGAGTTCTTTGGGCGCCGCCAGGCAGGACCGCCAGGGGGCGCTGCAGCCCGGGCTACAGTTCAACTTCAAGACCTCAGCGCGCCGCTTCGCGGGAGAAACGGGGTCCCCGGGACGTGTCTCGGAGCTCAAGTGGCTGTGGCGGGTCCGAGCTGAGGGCGGGGCTTTCTAAAGATGGGGAACGAGGTGCGGAGCGGGGTCTTCCCCCGGAGTAACCTCAACCCCGGGCGCAGTTGTCGTCAGTGGGAACAGGGGCCATGCAGAAAAGGTGCATGTCAGAAAAGGTGGCCTGTCTCTGTCCTGGACTGCTGCGAGCCCTCAGTGACCCCTAGCCAGCTCTCAGCTCTTTCCGCCCTGCTGAGTCCCAGCCTCTGGCAAAGGTGAGCACCTGAGCCTCGTTTCTTTGGTGCCGGGCCAGCGCTGGGACATTGAGGAGACCGGGACAGCCCAGAACCCTCCACACTCCTGCCCCAGCCCGTGGGGCAGGCCGACCTGCTGCCAGGGAGTGACAGCTGCGAACCAGCCAGGGCCTGTATGGGGTCCGGGTGGATTCGGAGGCACAGGCTCCACGGTCGGAGGGGGCGCTCCTGACCCAGCCTGAAGGGTCAAAGAGCCTGAGACTTAAAAGGCCGGGATGGGGCACAGAGGGACTTTGAAGACTTTGGAACTGACCCTCGAGGGGTGAGCAGCATTCTCAGCAAGGTCCAGGGCTGGCAAAGGGGGCCCCCAGTCCTGGTTCCTGAGCAGGCTGGCAGGCTGTGATGGCAACTCCTGGGGACACTGGCAGAGTTTAAGTCCCCCTCCTCCACCAGCCGTCCTGACCTTGGGCTAATGACTCTACTTGCCTAGCTATCAAATGATTACAAAATATTGAGTTGCACAAAATCATCTGCCTCATTTGAAAGAGCTATAAATAATTAAACATAATTTATGTCAATTTGTAGTACTGGGGATTGAACTAAGGAGCACTGAGCTGCATCCTCAGCCCTTTAAAACAATTTTATTTTGAGACAGGGTCTCTTGTCTCCAGCATGGGCACAAATTTTCCATCCTCCTTCCTTAGGCTGCCCAGTAGCTGGGACTATAGGCATGTACCACTATTCTCTATGTTATGCATTTTTTTTTTTTTGGTACCAGGGATTGAACTCAGGTCCTTGCGCTTGCACAGCAGGCGGCAGAACCACTGAGCTAAATCCCCAGCCCTGTTATGCATTTTTAAAACCACATTTTACAGATTATATCGATACCCAAGGAACAACAGACTTCACAATAACACGCTGCTATGTCAGGTGAGGCTTCAGCCTCAGTTATGGGAAAATGTAACTGATAAGAATTCACCAGTAGGCCGGGGATTTAGCTCAGCAGTTTCGCCGCCTGCTGAACAAGCGCAAGGACATCCCCTATACCGAAGAATTCACCAGCAAAGCCGGGCATGGTGGTGCACGCCTGTAATCCCAGCACTCCGGAGGCTAAGGCAGGAGGGTTGCTGTGAGTTCGAGGACAGCTCTGGGCTACAAAGCGAGACCTTGCCTCAAAAAAAAAATTTGCCAGCATGGTCTCAGATACACTGTTGCCGACTGAATTGTTTTGTTTTTGAGATGGAGTCTCACTTGGTTGTCCGGGTTGTCCTCAAAACTCCTGGGCTAGATAGATCCTCCTGCCTCAGCGTTCTGAGTAGCTGGGACGACAGGTATGTGCCAAAGCAACTGGTCTAGAATGTGGATAACTGTACCAATTGGCAGTAGTTTAGAATTTTCTTTTGGTATCGGGGATCGAACTCAGGTCCTTGCGCTTGCACAGTAGGCGGTGAAACCACTGAGCTAAATCCCCGGCCCGGTTTAGAATGTTTTTTATTCCTTGGTTCAGTATCTGTAATCAAAATGGGATAATGTTGGGCTCCCTTTAGTACCCATGCGGCTCCTGCTGTGATAGCGGGACCTGTTCCTGAGCTATGACTCAGAGGTGACTACTTATGGGGACCCTTTTCCTCCTCCTGTTTTAGAAGATGACTCAGAAGGAAAGGCTCTGAGGCCACATCGTCCCCCTAAACACACACCCTTGTGCTTTCCTGAGGGGCACCATTATAGTCTTCCTTTATTGGCTGTCCTTGTATAATACAAATCTGCACAAGTTTAGATACAAAAAAAAAATCTGGAAATAAAAGATAGAAAAGTACCCGCCAGGTACCCCTTCCCCTCTTCCGGGACCACCTCCCAGCGGGCACTGATGTGAGGTAACTGAGCATCTTTTCCCTTCCCCCTCCCCCATCTCCTAGGCCTCCAACTTGGCCCCTGCCCCCATGAGACCTCGGCCCCCAGAAGACCCAGGCCCCGAAGAGGGGGCGGGTGGCAGGGAGAGTAGAGCATTGGCAGTGAATGCGTGTGGGCAGGGAGGAGCCCTTAGCTTGTGCTGTGTATGTGAGGAGGAGACCCTGGACTTGGCTGGGCACTCACGTGGGGCCCAGGAGAGCCCCTAAGTGGGTGTCCCCTCTCCATCCTGCCCAACACCAGAAGGTGGAAGGTCGACAGAAACTGGGAAAGGGAGCATGGACGGAGGGCATTCCATGGAGCCTCAGCCATGGAACGGCCCCTGGGGGTGGAGGCAGGGTGTCACCAGCCTGAGTCCAGCCGTGAAATGGCTCCCTAGCCAGGCTGGGCCCATCCCCAAATGCCATCCCACCACACCTGGGCATCACAACCCTGCTTCTGTAGTGGTTATGGGGCTGGTGAAGAGAAGGGCTTAGGGGGATGTTGAAGGAGCCGGATGAGGGGAGAGGTTGTGCCTCCACTCCAAGGTGTGTCGAACCTGGGGATGACAGGGTGGGCCGAGCAGCTCGGGCTACAGTTCAATCTCGAAAGTCTTCTGCAAGTCGTCAGAGAAGGGGTTGGAGGGCTTCTCCACAGTGGGTTTGCCTTCTAATGCTGCCCACTGGGCCTCAAAGGGGTCCAACTCAGGGGCGGGGGCAGGCGTGGGCACTGGCTCTGGGGGCCAGGGGGCCCCATTGGGGCGAGGATGGGCCTGGCCCCCAGGGGCACTGGGCATGGCAGGAGGTGGGAAGGCCCCAGCTTTCCCCAGCAGAGTGGAGGGCTGGGGCTGGAGCTGGGCAGCGGAGCAGAAGGCGTTGGCCACCATCTGCGAGGGAGTGATGCCCACCACGGGCACCCGGGGCATTGGGGGGTAGCCCAGGCCCGGGTAGGCGGGCACAAATGGGGGCTGCATGTGTGAGGGTGGCAGGAACATGGCCACCTGGGCAGGTGCTGTGTCAAAGGGCCCCATGGGGGCAGGGAAGGGCTGCAGGGTAGGTGGCATGGTGGGCACTGAGGCTGCTTGCTGCTGTTGTTGCTGCTGCTGCTGCTGGGCCTTGGCCACCTGGGACACCTCCTCCAGCCACCGCTCAGCCTCCGAGGGTGTCCGCTTGTGCCCAGGCTGGAAGGCAGCTGCAGGGGGTACAGAGGGTTCACCCCAAGCAGAAGTCCCTGGAGAGAGGAAAGGGGCAGGTGAGAAGCGAAGGGTGCAGCAGAAGAGCCCTGGGCAGGGAATCAGGATGGCCTGGGAATGAGAGGATGAACAGTGCATACTCCCTCAGCCCTCACGTGCCCCACCGACTGGGGCACGGGACATGACCATCCTGGACCACACCATGGGTCTGCAGCACCGAGAGCATACAGTTCTGACTCTGTGGCATTACGATGGGAAGGTCTAAGTAGGACTGACACCCAGCCCCACTCCCTCTCTCACTGCTCAGGGCCACATCCAATATTAAATATTTTGATGCCAGGTGTGGTGGCATGCACCTGCAGTCCCAGCACTCTGAGGCTGAGGTAGAAGGATCACAAGTTCCAGTCCAGCTGGGGCAATTTAGCAACTCAGTAAGATTTTGCCTCAAAATAAAACATTTAAGGGGTTGGGGATTTAGCTCAGTGGTTCCAGTGCCTGCCTCACAAATGCAAGGTCCCAAGTTCGATCCCTGGTACCAAAACAAACAAACAAACATTTAAAAGGGCCACCAGGAATGTAGCTCAGTACAAAGACCCTGGGTCCAGTCCTCAGTATTGAAAAAGAGTGGGGGGGGGGAAATATTTTGAGTATTTGTTTCTAGTATTTTCACAGTATCTTATTTTAGGAGGCTGATTCTAAGACTGCATGCATGTTTCTTAGAGTATACTGTTCTAAGATTCTGCAGGTCTATGTTTTACATTGTTTTGAGATTCTGTGGTGTTCTTGTGGTTCTAGGATAAACCCGTGGCTCTAAGATGGTCCATGGTCCTAAAACAGTATCTTGGAGCTGGGGGTGCAGCTCAGTGGTAGAGGCTTGTGTAGCCTGGATTTTGATCCCCAGCACTGAAAGAAAAAAAAAAGAAAGAAAAAAGGAAGAGGAAGAGGACAAGAGAGGAGAGGAGAGGAAAGGAAAGACAGAAGAAAGTAAGGAAAGGGAGTGAAGAGGGAGGGAGGGGAAAAGGAAAGGAGAGGAAGAGAAAGGTACCCTGGTTCTCTGAGGTGATCCTGTGGTTCGGAGAGACCCTGTGTATCTAAGTTAATCCCAGGGCTCTAAGCTGAACCCATGGCTCTAAGATGATCCTGAAGCTGGAAGATGATCAGTGCTTCCAACCTAGAACCACCTAGGATTCCTAGGGTGTCCAAGGTAGCTAGGTCTGAGGAAGGAGAACGCAGGAGGGACACTGCAGGGTGTCTGGCCCAGTAGCAGGGCGGGTTACCTGTTGTGGCAGGTGGTGGCCCTGATGCTGGTGCTCCGGCACTGGCAAAGGATGAGCTGATCTGCGTGCACAGGGCATTGATGCCATCACTGTCACTGGCACCAGGAGGCTCCATCTCCGGCACTGGGGAATCAGGGAAAGGCAGAGGTTGGCAAACAGACCTGGCCAGCCCTGCTCACTGTGCGAACAGGGGCTCTCTCTGAGACTTGGTTCCTTTCCTTTCCCATGCATGAGGGTCAGCAGGTCACTGGGTGGTCATGGCCACTAAAATATGGCATCTTGCTGGGTGTGGTGGTGCACACCTGTAATCCCAGCCTTTGGGAAGCTGAGGCAAGAGGATCACTATGAGTTCAAGGCCAGCCTGGACTACATAGTGAGACCTTGTCTCAAAAGAAAAAATAAATTAAAATAATATGGCATCTGAGAGGCACGACAGCCAAATCAATAAGTGACACACATGGCTGACAATGACAGGGACTCAAACCAATGACCTCAAGATCTATGAGGGGCCATAGGCTAGAAGAGATGCTTAAAATGTACTGTCTTAGCAAATAAGCAAAGGACTATCGGGTGTGGTGTGTGAGAATTATCTTCAACAATTCAGGAACTGTCTCCAAGAGGGCACAGGATGCTCCCATGGGGATCAGAAGGAAGTGGCTGTAGGAATCTGGGTGTGACAGGAAGGGCCCAGGTTGGGAGGATGTGATTTCTAGGTCACTGTCTACAATGACCGTGTATTTGTCCAAACAGGCAGGTGGGGTGTGAGGGTGTGGCCCGTGGAACAGAAGTTCAAGTGTGTGGTGTCCCCAGGTGTGCTTCCCAAGTGTGAGTGCCTCTGCCCATGTGAAGGAGGACTGTGTGAATGTGCACGGATCTCTAAGTGTGGCCTCCAGGACTGTGCGAATCCAGGTGTGTGTTTGTGAGTATGTGTAAATCTAGGTGTGTGACTTCTGAGCATATGAGATTTCTGTGTGTCTGTGGCTCTCAGTTGGTTCCCAAGTATGTGTGACAGGTGTGTCAGAGTGTAACATCAGTGTGAGTCTGAAATTTCCATGTGGCAAGTCCCATCCAAGCTGCAGGAGTGTGAGGCTTCCAAATACAGCCTGAGGAGTGGCTACCTCTCAGGGAGCATGTGCGATGCCCTGAGTGTGTGCAGCAAATGTGACAATGTGTGACAGCCAGGGAATGCTGTAGGATGGGGAGTGAGTGCATCATTCTCAACACACATTGACATCTGCTCAGCTGTTACCTTTGGAGCAGCCCAGACTGCTGGATACAAATCAACACCCTCCCACACCAGTCCCCAAAGCCATAAGGGGTAGGTGTCCCAGATTTGGCATATGTTGCGGGAGGGTGGGCCAGACTGCATGGCTTCCTGGACTGCTGAGGGCAGGCAGCCCTCTCACCGGCAAAGATATTGTGACACTTCTCTCCTCCCCCTGGCTCATGGCAGACACTGCCTTTTAGATCATGACTTATGCCATCTGTCTCCTCTTCTTGGCCCATAGCAGACATTAATAATCAAACACAAGGCTTAGTCTCCTCACTGAGCTCTTTGCTCACCTTACCCCTTATCTGGCCAGATCACATGGCTCCACTGACCAAATTCTAGGAGTTTCCCTTCTGTGCAAGAGCATAACATCTCCCTGCTCTCTCTTCTCCTGTGCTCATGGCAAACTTTGCTAATTATTCAGTGGTGTGCCACCTCTTTTTCTTGCTCATGACAGACACTGCTAGGAGACTGTGATGTACAACAGCCCTCTACTCTCCCCGTTCTAGGTAGACACTGCTAATCCATCACAATCCTCCTTTTCTCTAACCCTAAGGAATACCTTTCTCCTTTACCTGGAAAGATCTCATGATCCTACTGGTAAAAGGCTTGGAAGAAGGATTAGACTATGGTACTTTAGTCTATTCCTGAGCAAAAACAGGGCATCTGTGTTTCTTTTCCTCTTTCTCTTGCCTGTAGTAGATTTAGTCGCCTACAGCAGATCTTGCTAATCATTCATGATGTGCACCATCTTGCTACATTCCTTTTACCAAAGCAGACGTTGCTAACTGGTCATGATTCATGCTACCTTTCTGCTATTCCTCTGCCAAGAGCAGACATGGTTAATCAATCATGATTTGTGCTACCTTTCTTCTATTCCTTGCCCATAACAGACATTGTTCACTGATCACAATACGTTCCACTTGTCTATCTTTTGCCCCTGGCAGAGAGTGCTAATCAATCACAGTATGTACCATCTTTCCTCTATGTCTTGCCCTCTTAAAACTGATTCTGATATCCATGCTGAATGAATCCAAAGCTCACCTGTGCCCTTCACCTGGAAGTCAGTGCGGCGCTGCAGCGTAGAAGGCAGCTCATTCAGCCGTAGGCTCAGCTGCCGTTTGAAAGGTGAGTTCTTCTGGCTGAGCGCTGGGAACCCTCGAAAGGAGCCTTGGCGAACCAGCTGCTCCAGAGGGGCATGGCGCCGGGGGATGGCAGCAGCAGTAGTGCCTGCAGCTACTGGGATGCCTGCCTCGCCCTTTTCACCAGGGGATGTGGTAGCTGGTGTTGGGGACACATGCCCAGGTTGGGCAGGGCCGGGAGCCACAGTGGGAGCAGCTGCTGCCTCTGCTGGAGACATGAGGAGACAGCTGGTTAGAAATCTCACCTTGGCACTTGAGACCTCTCTCATCTGGCATTTTTTTTTCTCCCTGGGTACTGGAGATGGAACCCAGGATCTTCACATTGAACTACATCTCCAGACCTTTTTAAAGATAGCTGCTATGTTGCTACGGTGCCCAGGCTGAGCTCGAACTTGCAATCCTCCTGCCTCAGCCTCCCAGAGTGCTGGGGTTACAGGTGTGCTCCACCATGCCTGGCCCCCTTGGTCATTCCCCAAGGCTGCCTTCCTTACCTAATGTCCTTTCCTCAAGCAAGCTGGTCAGAGGCCTGGCACATCTCTCACCCCCAAACAAGCCAAGCTCACCTTCCCCAGGAGAACCAGCCTGACCCTCTGGGCCTCCGGCTTTCTGCCCCAGATCTGTCTTCCTGCACTGCTCTCACTGTTTCCCCCTCAGAGACTCTATAATTCGCCAACACCTATTCGGTGCGTGAACACAATATCAGGCATTGTTCCAGGAGCTCTGTAAGCATTAACTCATCTGTCCAAACACACCCACGAGACCGAGACCATCTGCAGCTTACAGCTTCGGAAACTGAGGGCCAGGAAAGGCCTGAGCTGCAGCCCAAGTCACACTGCAAGGCAGGGCAGACTGACTGGAGTCTATGCTTCAAACAGCAGCTCCCATTTGTTCCCCTCTGCGGCCGCACCTCTCCACAGCACCCTCTCTGTCACTCTGTCCTGCCTCCCTATTCCTGGCCCTTCTTCCCACGTCAGGTTTCCCCTCCCCTCTTCCAGCTGCAGTGAGTCACGCAGCCCTGGTCTGGCCCACGTTGTCCTCCGGACGCTTTCCAGATTGTTCTGGCCCCTCAGCCCAGGCTCCTTCTACCCTGGGATTGTTCTCTGTCTTGGGAAAAACCTGGTCTCCCCACTTGCCACAAGAGGCAGGCTCTTCAGCCCCGCCCCCGCCTGGCTGTCCACACACACACTGCTCCCCTAACCAGGGCTGCAGCCACACAGGGCTGTCACTGAAGGCTGCTTCTCCTACCTTCTGGGATGAAGCAATGAGGAGCCCCCTGGGCCGGCCTGGCACCATGGAAACAGCCCTGGAGAGGTTGGAACTAGGAAACCACCTCTGCCCCTTCTTACTGCCTGACCTCAGGAAGTTCCTGCCCCTCTCTGGGCTCCAGCTGGTCTAGAAACCTGGGATAAACAACCCCAGGCTACCTCCCAGGGCTTCTGGAAATGGTCGCTGAAGGTAGTGAATGCTCAGTGTTCTAGAATCCAAAAAAAGCTTGATAAACAATTTTGTGGACAGAGCACTCTTCCAGAGCCCCGTGTCAAAGCACAGTGGCTGCAGGCTGTGAGTGAGTGGCAGAACACTGACATGGTCACACATCAGACCTTAACTCTGGTGGTGCTAACAGCTAGGTGCTTTCCAGGATGTGAAGTCCCTAGGAATAAATGTGTGTATGTGGTACTGGGGACTGAACCTTGGGCCTCTGAATCAAGATACATCCACAGTCCTTTTTATTTTTTTATTTTGGGATAGGGCCTCACTAAATTGCTAAATTGACCAGGCTGGCCCTGAATTTGTGATCCTCCTGCCTCAGATTACCAGAGTGCTGGCTGGGATTATACAGGAGTGTGCCACTCTGCCTGGCTCTGATAATGTTCTTCATAAATCCTAATGTGCTATATAAATGGAAAAGAAATATTTTTAGCTGGGCTCACGGTACATGCCTGTAATCCCAGCTACTCAGGAGGTTGAGGCAGGAGGCTCACAAGTGAAGCCCAGACTGGGCAACTTAGCAACACCTTGCCTCAAGATAAACAAACAAACAAATAAATGTTTAAGGGCTCTGAGGATGTTGGTCACTGTGAGTGCCCTGGGTTCATTCCCCAGAATGGGGCTGGGGTGGGCTGGGGTGGGGTGGATTGTGAACTCTTGAGTTTTGTCTGCTTGGTGGTGGCCTGCTGTCCGAAGCCTGGCCTTTTTTGTTACAGCGGCACCCTGTGCGCACTTGGAGGTGGCGCCCTGCAGTCCCTGTCCTTGAAGCTCTGTGTACCAGGCCTAAGCCCCTCACTGCGCGCAGGCAGCACCCACCTTTCTTCTTGTCTGCGGCCTCGCGCTCCGCAGGCCGTCCGCCCCCCGACAGGCGGAAGGAGCCCTCGCGGGCGAAGCTGGTGCGGCTGGCGTCAAAGGCGGCAGTGACTCCGCACTCCTTCTCCCGGCGCTGCTTCCGCTCCAGACAGGCGGCGAAGGCACAGCCCACAGCATGGCTCAGCCTCTCCCCCTGTGAGCGAGGGGAGGTCAGACACGCCAGGCCTGCAGACTGACGAGCTACAGACCACAAACCCAGCTCCTAGGCTGGGGGGTGGCTCAGTGGTCAGCGCAGGCCTAGCAGGTTCGACACCTGGGTTCCCTTCAGCACCCAAGGAGGAAGGGAGGGATGGAGGGATGGAGGACATGGTGGCGCTGTAATCCCAGCACTCTAGGAGGCTGAGGCAGGACCCCTGGAACTCAGGAGCTCCAGACAGCCTTAGCAACAGCGAAGATACACAAAACAAGCATGACTGCGGGCGGAAGCATGGTCACGCTTCCGAGGCATTCTAGAAGAGTCAAAGCTAAGGTATAGTGGGAAAGTCAGCTTCTTGCGGGCAAGACATGTGCAGGTGTTCCGTGGCAATGTTCTCCAGACCGCCAGATAGAGGCTGGGCTCCCACAGGTACATGCAGTTGTCTGAACTCAGCAAAGGGGCACGGTGTTGCTGGGGACAGAATGCTCCTGTGCCCTTCCAGATTCAGATGCTGAAGCCCTAACTCCCAAAGCCATGGTATCTCGAGGTGGGGCCTATGGGATTAGGAATGAGTTAGGGCTCTTGCATTGGGATTACTGTCTTTAGAAAAAAGACAATGTAAGAGCCAGTGATTTAGCTCAGTGGTGCCAAGCCTGCCTCACAAGCCCAGGGTCCTGAGTTCCATCCTCCGTACAAAAAAAAAGATGTTAAATTAGAAGAAAGAAGTCATAGACAAATATGTACAGTTATGTTTTTCTGGGGGTTTAGTTTAGTGGCACCACGCCTGACTTTCAAGTGCAAGGTCCTGAGTTCAATCTCTAGTACCAGGGGAAAAAAAAAAAAAGACAATGTAGGGTCGGGGAGGTGGCTCAGCAGCACAGCACCTGCTTGGCAAGCCCGAGGCCCTGAGTTTGATTCCCAGTACCAAAGAAAAGAAAAAAGAAAAAAAGAGAATGTAGCCAGCCTCATGGTGTTCATAGTGTCATCCCAGCACTCTGGGAGGCTGAGGCAGCAGGATCCTAAGTTCAAATCCAGCCTGGGCAGTTTAGTAATTTAGTGAGACCTTATCTCAAAATAAAACAAAAAAGGATAGGGTATAGCTTAGTATGAAGGTCTTGGGTTCAATCTCCAACACTGCCAAAAAAACAAAAAAGACACAGAGACAAGACCCCCGTCATCCCACCATGTGAAAATCCATTCAGGAAGGGTCCGTGGGGTCCATCTGCAAGCCCGGAAGCCAGCCTACAAGGAGAACGGTCCATGCTGGCATGCTGGGCTCCAGCTTCCAGCCTGAAGACTGAGAACTAAATACTTGTTTAAGCCACCCAGTCTACATATCTGGTTATAACAACCTGAAAGAAGACAAGCGTGTATTTTACTCAAAAGAAAAAGACTGGAAGCAAATATGAATTCTACTTCACGGAATGCGTGCGGAAGTGTTTAGTGGAAAATTATGTTGTCTGCAACTTGAAATGCACTCCCAACATATGGTGGCAGCTCTGTGTCAACAAGCACTGAAAAGATTAATGGGGGTGTGTGGAGGTAGGCGACTGCACAAGTCTATCAACTTCACTGCATGCTTGAAAAAAAATTTAGTGGCTCGGTGTGGTGGCACATGCCTGAAATCCCAGCACTCAGGAGGCTGAGGCAGGAGGATTGCTGTGGGTTCCAGGCCAGCCTGAGTTCCAGAGTAAGGTCAAGGCCAGCCTGAACTACATAGCAAGACCTTGTCTCAAAAAAAAAAAAAAAAAAAAATTAGTAATAGGCTGGGTGTACTGATTCGGGTGCATGCCTGTAATCCCAGCACTCTGGGAGGCTGAGACAAGAGGATCGTCACCCTGGACTACATAGTGAATTCAAGGCCAGCCTGAAGACATAGCGAGACTCTGTGTCAACAAACAAACAAAGCCAAGGATGTAGCTCAGTGGTGCTGCGCCTGCCTGGCAAGCACGAGGTCCTGAGTTCAATCCTTAGTACCAGAAAAATAAGTAAAATAAAATAAGGTTGGGAATGTAGCTCAATGAGAAGGCCTGGGTTTAATCCTCAGTACCACATTTTTAAAAAGTACTAATAAAATGTTGGGGGAAATACCAGTTTTTGATTTTTGTTTTTTTGAGACAGTGTCTCACTATGTAGCCCAGGCTGGCCTCAAATGCCCAGTGACGCTCCTGCCTCAGCCTCCTGAGTGTTGGGATTACATGCGTGCACCACCATGCCCAGCTTCTGGCCACTGGTTTTTTTGGGGGTTTTTTTGTATAACTTTATTATCATTCACTAAACACACATATACAAAAATTAAAATTATTCAAAGAAAAGCAATGCAAGGGAAAAAACCATAATAATATTCAAATATAATAGAACTCAACCAAAGCAAAACTGAAAAGTGCTTAAACATTTTTCCATATAATTAAAAAAAAATCTCAAACATTAACAAGACATCAAAGGACATGATCTGTTTTAGAAAGATTTTCAAAACTGATGTTGAACAAACAGTGGTCTGAAAAAAAAATTCTAATTAGCTAGTAGACTCCACATAGGCCAAATTTTTTTTAATTTAAATTTCAATACAGTCATGTGACACGTGATGGAAATATAATCTGAGAAATATGTTATTAAGCAATTTCATCCATGTGTATCGCAAAGTACCACACAGAGTGCCAATTTCTAAGTGCAAACTGAAAAGATACACGTCAATCATCTGTGATGGCCCCTTGATATTATTCAAATATGCAGTTAAACACGAGATACATGAGGCTACCACTGGCATAGCAGCACAATGTTTTACAGTAAACTCTTTTATATAAGTAGGATTATGCTCTAAAGGATGAAAAGCTTTATGATAAGTACATAAAACAGTAACAGTCATTTATCACACTATCGAGTATTGGGTACTGTACATAGCTATATGCGCTTCTTCTGGAAACACACTGGCCACAGTTCTTGAGTGCTTATTTCTTTTTGTTGTTGTTGGTACCGGGGACTGAACTCCAGACCTTGCGCTTGTGAGGCAGGTGGCGGAACCACTGAGCTATATCCCCAGCCCTTGAGTGCTTATTTCTGAGGCTCCAAGGTTAGGTAGCTGGGATTGATGCTGACTCCCATCCCACTTCCTAGCTGTGACTTTTCAAGAAATCACTTCCCCTCTCAATATCTGAGTCTCCTTCCCTGCAAAATGAGGGTCCTAACCAACTACTTCATAGGCTTGTTCCAAGAATCAGGTGCTACCTGCCAAGTGTGTAGCAAGGAATCGGGAAATACCAAACATATCGGCATAACTGTCCAGCCCTGGGCTGAAATGTACCCTCTCACAAATCCTCCCAGCACTGCCAGGAGGTGGACGTTCTTTTTTTTTTTGTACCGGGGATCGAATTTGGGTCCTTGCACTTGCGAGGGAGGCGGCAGAACCACTGAGCTAAATCCCCAGCCCAAGAGGTGGATGGTCTTATGAACCCATTTTACAGATGAAGAAACTGAGGCTCGGACAGGACATCAATACCCTCAATCTAACATGTGGAGTGGCAGAGTTAGGATTCACATGAGAAGTATCTGACTTCTGTTTCTTGACAAAGATGATCAGATACCTCTCAAAGTTAAACTTGAATACAAAAATTCACAAACATTAGTAAACTGATAATAGGAAGTAGGAAGATAGCTTCTTCTCAAAGGGGAAGGGGATCAAGGGATGGAGAGGGGCCAGGGATTTAGCTCAGTGGTTCCGCCGCCTCCCTCGCAAGCGCAAGGACCCAAGTTCGATCCCTGGTACCAAAAAAAAAAAGAAAAAAGAAAAGAGATGGAGACAGAAGGGATGGAAAAAAAAGGAACTGGTGATTCCCGGTACAAAAAAAAAGGAATTGGGATGTGTTATGTACATGTAACAACTCCACACAAGGAATGTGAACTACATGTATATACTAATAAACTGAAAAAAAACCCAACAACTAATAAACTGAAGTGTGCACCACATTAAAAGGGTTACATACTTGTGGAATTTATAAAGCTGGTTCAACATATGAAACAGATAAGTGTGGAAGCATAAGCCACCATTTCTAGCTGCTCCAATTACTCTTTGTTTTTTGTTTTTGAGACAGAGTCTTGCTATGTAGTCCAGGCTGGCCTGGAACTCATGGCAATCCTCCTGCCTCAGCCTCCCCAGTGCTGGGATTACAGGCGTGGGCCACCATGCCCAGCATTGGTCTAATTACTCTTACTAGAATTTGACAATAAACAGAAGCAATGAAGTGGGAGCTGTGCATGATGGGTGCCATGTACCTATAGTCTTAGCTCCTCGGGAGGCTGAGACAGGAAGGTTGTAGGTTCAAAGCCAGACTGGGCAACTTAGCAAAACACCATCCCAAAATAAAAAAGTAAAAAGGGCTGGGGGTGTAGCTCAGCATCCCCTTTATCTGGTTTATAATCTACACACACATAAGTAGAGCAAAGTCTGGGGCACAGCTCAGTGGCAGAACATTTACTTAGCATGTGCAAAGCCCTGGGTTCCATGCCCGGCACATCAAACAAACAAACAAAAAGTATTTCAACAAGAAAAAGAAATAAAAGGCATCAAACTGGAAAGGAAGAACTAAAATTCCCTATTTGCAAATGGCATATTTTATATAAAAAATCCACAAACAACTGGTGCTAATAAAAAAATTTAGCCATGTTGCAGGATATAAGTACAGCACACAGTAATCAACTGTATTTTTATTATATTAGCAATCAACAATCCAAAAATGAAATTAAACAATTTCATTTACAATACCATTTAAAAGGATTAAGTGGCCCAGCATCGTGGTATGTGCCTGTATTCCCACCATTCTGGGAGGCTGAGACAGGAGTATCACCAGTTCAAGCCCTGGGCAACCTAGCAGCAACTTAGTGAGAGCCCATCTCAAAAATAAAAAATAAAAGATCTGGAAATGAAGCTCAGTGCAAAGCCCCTGGGTTCAATCCTTGGTACCACCAAAAAATTACACATACAAAAACACACAATGAGCCGGGTATGGTGGCACATGCCTGTAATCCCAGCACTCAGGAGGCTGAGGCAGGAAGATTGCCTTGAGTTTGAGGCCAGCCTGGGCTACATAGTGAGTTCGAGTCTAGCCTGAATTACAGAGTGAGACCCTATCTCAAAAACAAAACAAAACAAAACAGAACACCCACACACAATGGAATTCGGAAGGATCCAGAAGAGTCAGAAACAATTTTGAAAAAAACAGGTAGAAGAATGATACCTCCTAATTTCCAAACTTACTGCACAGCTTTATCAGTCACAAGAGTGCAGTACTGGCATAAGGATAGATATATAGACTAATGAAAAAGAACTGAGAACCTAGAAATGAACCCATACAGGTTTGGTCAATATATTTTCAACAAGGGTCAAGACCATTCAGTGGGAGAAAAAGAGTGGTCTCTTCCGCAAATGAGGCCAGGAAACTGGACATCCACATGCAAAAGAATGAACCTGGATGCCTATGTGACACCATATACCCAAATTAACTTAAGGGCTGGGGTGTGGCTCAGAGGTAGAGTGCTTGCCTAAGGCATAAGGTCCTTAACTCGGGCTGGGGATTTAGCTCAGTGGTTCCGGTGCCTGCCTTGCAAGCACAAGGTCCCAAGTTTGATCCCTGGTACCAAACAAACAAACAAACAAACAAAAAAGGTCCTTAACTCAATGCCCAGCACTGCAAGGCAAAAATGAACTCAAAGTGGATCAGAAACCTAAATGTAAGAAAAGAACAGATAAAATGGGCTTGGGCACTATTAAAAACATTTGTGCATCAAAGATCACTTGAGAAAGTAAAAAGAAAATCACAGAATGGGAGAAAATATTTGTAAATCATATATCTGATGAGTCTAGTATCTGGAACATACAAAGAATTCTTATAACAAAAAGAAAACAATCCAGGGCCTGGGATGTGCTCAGTGGTTCCGCAACTGCCTGGCAAGCACAAAGTCCTCAGTTTGCTTCCCGGTACTAGAAAAAGAAAGAAAGAGAAAAAGAAAGGAGAGAAAGAGAGGAGAGAAGGAAGGAAGGAAGAAAGAAAGAAAGAATGAACAATCCAACTAAAAAGACACTTAAGAGCTGGGTATGGGGGTGCAACCTGTCGCCCCTGTGCTCCAGAGGCTGAGGCAGGAGGATCACCATGGGTTTGGGGCCAGCCTGGGTTACATAGTGAGTTTAAGGCAAGCTTGAACTACATAGCAAGACCTTGTCTCCAAAAACAAAACCATCTCCTCCTCCTAAAAAAGAAAGAAAGAAAAGGGGTGGGGATGTAGTTCAACATGAAAGGCCTGGGTATATCTACAGAACTGCGGAAAAAAAAAGAAAAAAAAGAAAGAAAGAACTCAGGCATTATGATTCTAATGTACCAACTCCCCACAAGGAATGTAATTTTTACATACTGCAAACATGTACTAATAAAAAAAAAACCCTGAAAAAATAATACCAAGAGTAGGTAAATTTTTAGAGAGAGAAAGCAGGTTAGAGGTTTCTAGGAGTTGGGGGTGGGTGGGAGTGGGGACAGGGAGGGGCAGCTTAATGGGTACAGGTCCTCCCTTGAGGGTTCTGGGAATGTTCTGGAACTAGACAGAGGTGGTGACTAAACATCACTGTGAACATACTGAAGGCTGCCGTATTGTACAACTGCGAGTGACTAATTTTATGGAAATTTTACCTAAAAAACAATAAAACTTGAGGAATCCTGGGAATTTTGCAGCTAATGCTTAAAAGCAAAGCTCTGCAGCGAGAATTTGCTCACCATCACATTCCCCCTGCCCTTCTCTACCTTTGATTCTCATCTGCAAAGAGATGAGTTTCTTATCCTCTAAATGGCTCCTGTGGGCTGAACACTTAGTACCAGACTCTGTGTAGAGTTTTGGGTGTGACCCTAACAAACCCTTCCATAATGAACCTGTGAGCAGTCACTGCTATTATCCCGAGGGAGATGACCCAAACACAGCCAGGCAGCTGGCCACCAAACCCACACCACCAACTGTGTGGCAGTGTTTTCCAAAAAGGAGCCACAATGGATTTCTGGTGCCACATGTTCTTCTAGAACCTTCTACTCCCCCGTCAAAGCTGGAGTCCGTGTGCCCTCCCCCTCACCTTGGAAGACCTCCGAGACGGGACACACAGCAGCCCACTAGCCATGCTGGGTGCTGTCCAAGATGAAGCCCCAGGGTTAATAGAACTTCCTCCTGGCGGGGTCACTCTCTCTCTCCCTCTCTTCCCTTGCCCCTCCTAAGCCTCCCTCTGGAGCTCTGAGCCTGACATCTCCATGCCCTAAAGGCCCTGTGCAGAGGTCCTGAGACCACAGGAGGAGAGAAGCCCAGCCAGTCTCCAGCTGCTACAGCCCCAGGCACTGCTTTCAACAGCTGGAGACACTGTGGAGCCAGAACCATCCTGCCGGCCTTCCCCAAATTCCTGATCTATGAAACTATGAGAGATAAGAAATGAGTGCGATTTTAAGCCATGAAATTTTGAAGCATTTGTTACACAGCAGTGGAGGACTGATATGATCACTACACACCCTGCTGTGCTCAGAAACAGCAGCTACTTGGAGCTCTGGCTTTCTGCTATCTCCACACCTGCCCCAGCAGGCACCACTCAGTACTAACTGATCCACACTGCACTCTCAAGTTGTTTCCCACCTTTGGTCTCAGCTCTGCCATGATGCGTGAGTGGGGAGGCTGGGGGTACTGACCAGTGTTGGGGCTCAGAGCTATTTGGATTGGAGCTCTCCCAACACGACAGGAAAGAAGACGGGGGATACTTGGGTGGAAACTGTTAGTGTGTGTGATAGAAGGGCTTGTGTTACCTGTCCAGGCTCAGTTCCCCTGCTTCTGTAACAGCATCCCAGTTTCCCTGTGGGGTCCTCCTGCCAACAGTCATCCCGAGTGCTTCAACCCCTGGCCAAGGGGAGGACTGTACCAGGCTAACTCCATGCCTTCTTGTTAGCACCTGACCCAGAACATGGTAGCCCCTCTGCTGCAGCATCCCGAAGAAACTGGCCCCCCGAGTCGGGTCCAAAGGCTACCCTATTCCTGCCTTTCTGATACTCCATGCTTCTGACTACCCATCCATTTTGTGAAATTCCTCATATTCTTCCATTAATATTATTCTGGGTTTAAATCAGCAAGATTAGTTTCTATTGCTTGCAACCAAAGAACACTGGGCAATGTAGGAAATAGAGACTGTGGCTTCCTATCAGAGTTGTTTGGAGTCTGAGTTGAAGGCAAAATAAAGATTATATTTTCCACCTTCTTTTACAGTTAAGGATGTCCAAGTGACTAAGTACTGTGCAATTCCCAAAAAGGAGAAAGTGTGCTGCTCCTCATGCTTCCTTCCTTCGTGCTGACTGGAATGAAGACATGGAAGCTGGAGCACACGCATCCATCTGGAATCTGAAGTGGAAGCCACATTCTGAGAGGACAATAAGGTGACAGGAACCATGGCCCCTGATGAGCACAGAGCTGTCACACCAATGCTGTACTGCCTGCTTTTGGGTTTTCTTTACATGAAACAAACATCTATTTCTATTTCACCGAAATCACTATTATCTAGGGTTTTTTATCATAAGCCTCAGTGTCCTAATTGTGTGAATTCTTCTGAAAATAATCCACTCATTGCTTTCATCAGATTTTTCAGAGGGGAATCTGATCTTCCCCCTAAAACACTAAAAACTATGGGCAAAATGTATTGAGGCTGAACAGACAGTGGATGTGCTTGGGGTATTATTTGAGAATGACCCAAGGGAGCCCACTGGGGGCAAGAAACTTTCTATAACTTTTGTTTTGTTTTGCTTTTTGAGGCAGGGTCTCCCTTTGTAGTTCACTCTGGTCCTGAACTCACTATGTAGCCCAGGCTGGCCTCGAACTAGCGGCAATCTTTCTGCCTCAGTCTCTTGAGTGCTGGGATTACAGGTGTGCGCCACCACGCCCAGCTCTATAACTTGATCTTGGGGGCTTACATATAAGCAAAATTCACAGAGCTGTGCATTGACAATCTGTGTGCTGAAATACATGCACAAAGAACTAGTGGGACAAGGATGAGGATAACAGCTTTCTCCTGAGAGCCTGGTATGCACTGGGCACTGTTCAAGCACTTTGTATCGCCCCACTCAAGTCTCCCAAGAATCCTCTAAATTAGAAACTGAGTACATCTCCTCCTGGGCATGGAGGGGTGAGCCACTTGTCCCACACAGCCTGCTGAAACCCCAGAGTATGGGAGGGAGGAGGGGACCAGTTCCGGCGATACTCACAGAGTCCTTGAGGGCCAGGAAACAGTGGCAGATCCAGCGGCGCGTGGTGCCATCCCGACATATGTAGGAGAAAGCTTTGTCCAGGTTGCGGTCAGGTGCACAGAAGGAGACCTTCTCGATGGTCTGATCCACCAGCAGATCCTAGGAGGTCCAGCGAGGCCAGGAGAGTGGTGTGAACCACTCATGCATTCATTCATTTATTTCTTCCTTCTTTCCTTTACTTATTTACAGTACTGGGGACTGAACCCAGGGAGTGCTGAGCGATGGTCCCAAGACTTTTCAATTAATTTATTTATTTATGTAGTTTTATTTTATTTTATTTTTTTGGTACTGGGGATTGAACTTGGGTCCTTGCGCTTGCACAGCAGGCAGCAAAACCACTGAGCTAAATCCCCGGCCCCTTTATTTTATATTTTTGAGACAGGGTCTCGCTATGCAGGTCAGGTTGGTCCCAAACTGACTATGTATCCTAGGGTGGCCTGGAACTCACGGCAATCTTCCTGCCTTGGCCTCTCAAGTGCTGGAATTACCGGCGTGCAATACCATGTCTGGCTCACTTTTTATTTATTTTGTATGGGCAGGTTGGTGTTTTGAGACAGGGTCTCAATATGTAGTCCAGGCTGGCTTTGAACTCACTATTGTAGACCAAGCTGGCCTCAAACTCACGGCGATCCTCCTGCTTCAGCCTCCAGCATGTTGGGATTACAGGTGTGCACCACTATGCCCTGTCATTTTTATTTTGAGACAAGGTCTCACTAAGTTGCCTAGGGAGGCTTTGAACTTGAGAGTCTTCTGCCTCTTCCTCGCCAGTAGCTGCATGACAAGCAGGCACTAACACACCTGGCTTGTGAACTGTCTTTCACATATTCATTCAACACTCCTTAGCATCTACTCTAAATCTTGTCCTGAAAGGGTTAAGGACCCAATAGTCACTGAGACAGTTGTGGGGAAGCCTGTAGGAGGTTCTAGTTCAGATCCATCCCAAGACAGGGCCAGGGGCCAGGGATGTAGGTCAGTGGCACAGCACCTGCCTGGCAAGAGCGAGGTCCTGAGTTCAATCCCCAGTACCAAAACAAAACAGGGACAGCTAGAGGCGCTCAGGGTGCAATAACCAAAGAACAGACAGAAAAGCTGGGGCCTAGATGGGGAGGTAGAGGTGTTTGCAGGAGCGAAGAAGGGGTGCTTGACCCAACTTGGGGGGAGTCAGGCAGAGCTTGCTGGAGGAGATATTAGCTATGCAGGGAACAGTGCTCAGGCTAAGGGCCCTGCCTGTGTGGAGGCCATAAAGCTGTTCTGCCATTAACCCAATTCTCAACATGTCAACTTCTCGGGCAATCTCTGGCTTGGGGCAGGGAGTCAATGGAGAGCAAGCAGACACTCAGATCCTGACCCCATGGACCCCCTGGCTGGGCAGACTGAAAATAAACACATATCAGCTACCTTTCATTGGTCTGAGTACTTACACTGTGCCAGGCAGCATTTTAATCAGTTTGTAGCACTTCATCATTTAACAGCAGGGTCTATCATGAGCCCCACTTTTTAGATGAGGCACCTGGGCCCTGAGGGATTACCAGCTGGTGAGTGGGCAAGCTGGGACCAGTGCTGAGGTGGCCACTCCAGTCTCACCCACTCTACACCTGCTCACAAATAACCACAGCCCTCATCCCTGAATTAGGCCCGTGAAGGGAGCCAAGTCATTGCAGAAACACACGGTGTTGTCTAGAAGGCCCCTGAGGGAGGGACATCCCAGGGCTGGGGCCTGGGAGGGCATCCTTAGCCCATTGGGGCCCACGCCACCCCCACAGGCCGCCTACCTTGGTCTTGTCATCCACCACTCGGAGCCCATCAGCAGACACCCACAGGATGGACTTCACAGACTTCCGGCCCATCTGGAATGGGAGTAGGGAAAGAGCGGCCTGGTTAGGGCTGACTCTGCCTGGCTGACCTTCCCCTCTCCCTGGTTCCAGCCCCTCGCTTACTGCCTTCAGCTTCTTCACGGCATCTTCACACACGTGCATCCCCCGGGACTCCTCCACCTCCACGTGACCCAGGTACTTGGGTGGGGGAAGGGAGGACAGGAAGTAAGCTTCGTGATCAATAATTACCAGTATTCCCTGCTCATGTGCCATGCACTAGGGCATGCTCTCAGCACATCAGCAAGTGTCACATCATAAGCATTAGTTCCTCTACGGTACACCTCTGCTCTACAAGGTGGGTACCACATTCCCAGCTCATATATACAGATGAGAAAATTGAAGTACAAGCCAGGTGTGGTGGTGCACACCTGTAATCCCAGTAGTCTGGGAGGCTGAGGCAGGAGGATTGCAAGTTCAAGCCCAGCCTGGGCTTAGGAAGACCCTGACTCAAAGTACAAAAGGGCTGGGGATGCAGCTCAGTGTGAAGGCTCTGGGTTCAATCCTTAGTACTGAAAACAAAACAAAACCAAAACAAAGGAAGAAAGAAAGAGAAAACTGAAGCCCAGTGTAGTGATTCTTGTCCTGCTATATTTTGGAGCCTTTACCCTTCACTGCTGTGTTGCTGACGGTCAGTATTTGTCTCTGTGCCTGAGATGGCCCAGGGCCATGCCAGGCTGTTCTGTCCACCTGGACAGCAGGCAGAAAGATCTGGGTCCTGTGCCCCTATCCTGCAATTGCAATACCGGACAGGACGTGGGGTTCACACCTGGAGCTCCCTTGCTTGCAGATGGGATGACCACTGCCTAGCTCCCTAGCGGGACTAAGCTTGGTTTCCCACAGCTGCTATTTTTTTTTTTTAATTTAGGTTTTTTTGAGACATAGTCTCACTATGTACCACAGGCTGGCCTAGAACTCACAGCGATCCTCCTGCCGCAGCCTTCCGAGTGCAGGGATTGTAAGTGTGCATTACCAGGTCTGGCCACAGCTGCTATTTAATAGTACATATAGTATTTACCAGCTGCCTTCCCTTTTACCACTGGTGACACTTTCTGGGCCTCCTAAATGAACCTCTCACACTCAGGGTCTGCCACAGGGGAAGAGAAAAGCAGACAGGAAGGAACTGAGGGGGCTCCCCATGGAAGGGGCGCCAGAGCCCCTGCCCTGAATCTGGTGTCTTCCCAATAAAAGCACGGCGTATGTTGTGAGGGGCTGTGGCGCTCTAAACCACAAAGCCCTTAAAGAAGAGGGCTCTTTGGGCTGGGGATTTAGCTCAGTTGGTTCCACCACCTGCCTCGAAAGCGCAAGGACTTGAGTTCGATCCCCGGTAACAGCAACAAAAAAAGATGAAGGCTCTTCAAATGCTACACATTTTTTCTGACATTCCAGTGGCTGCTACTCCCCTGGAAATTGTGAGCTCCATAAAATGGGGTGACGATATGACCCAAGTAATATTTTTCTGGTTTAGGAGAATGTGTCCTGATGTTCAACGACAACTTCAAAGGACCCAGGGTCCTGATCCACAACTGTTTCTTTTTTTGTTTTTCCCTAAGTACTGGGGATTAAAGCCAGGACCTTCACATTGAATTACCCCTCCTGCCTTTAAAAATTTTTTTTGAGACAGCGTCTTACTAAATTGCCCAGTTTGGGCCTGAATTTATAATCTTCCTGCCTCAAACTCCCAGAGTGCAGGATTACAGGTGTGAGCCACCCCACCTGCCTCTGCAGCTCTCTGAGAAGTAGTCTCTAGTCTGTAGCATGGGTCGGGCAGATTCAGGCCTGCCTACAGGATGCACAGCCTAGCCCCTGCCCGCCCTCGGCATGGCCCCCCCCCCCCCGCTCCACCCACTCACCCTGACCGGGAAGCTGCACGTGCCCTTGCGCACAGCGTCCTCGTCTGCCTGCCACTGGTGTGGACGCGATGCCTCGGGCACATAGGCTGGTTTCCTCCGCCGCAGGCTCTGCCGTAACTTGTTCATGGTGCCCGCCCCGTCTAGTGACACAGGGCAGCAGTGTCGGTCAAGGTCAGGACTGGAGGTCAGAAGTTTTGGAGCTCAAGGAGTATAGGGCTGGATAGCATGGGAATGAGGTTCTAGGAGGAGGGGTCGCTGGTCGAGGACGGGGCATTCAGGGCACATGGGGAAAGCACAGGATTGCAGGGTTGTGCAGCAGGGATTCAGGAACACGGGGTAAGGAGCCCGGAGGTGAGGAGATCATGGGTCGAAGGCTTTAGGGGCTTAGCAGCTGGGGCTGTGACCAACAAGAAGCAAGAACATCCAAAGGCTGGGAAGTCAAGATGCTGGTGGATTCACGATTAGAGGCCACAAGGGTCAGGGCCCCAAGGGTATGAGGGCCAGGGGAAGGGGTGCTCAGAGGGCCCAGGACTGGGAGCTGCATGGGTCTCAGGGTGTAGGAGCTGGGTGTGGGAAGGGTGGGATTAGGGGCCTCGGAGAGTCCAGGGGTCAAGTCAGGAGCCTGCTCTGTGTGTGGGGGAGAGGGGGTGTCTTGTCTTAGTAGCTCGGAGACACAGCCCCTCTCTGTGCCTGCGGCAGTTGGACTGTGTGTGTGCGCGCACGCGTGAGCGCGATGAGAGTGGAAGTGGCCAGCCCTAAGGAGAGTGTTCAGTGGCTTATAAGCTGTCCTGAAAGTTCCAGAAGGAGGGTGAGGGGACACCCAGGGCTGGAGGCACTGATGGCAGATGGAGACTCTGTACAGAAGCAAGTGAATGATGGTGGATTACGGAATGGTGCTGGTCAGAGTGTCTGTATCTGAGCACATATCTATTACCTGTGAGTGCATTTTGGAAGGTTATATGGAAGGATCCCTGGCTGAGAATGATTGTTGTTTGTTTGATTTTTGTTTTTTTGAGACAGGGTCTTGGTGTGTATTTCAGGCTGGGCTTGAACTCACAGCGATCCTCTTGCCTCAGCCTCCCGAGTGCTGGGATTACAGGCCCAGCCACCACGCCCAGCCTGAGAATGATTGTTTACGAAAGTATGTGGCTGTGGATGCTGTCAGTGAGGCCTGGCACTCAGAAGTTGGTTGTTATCTGTGTGTATGTCCCTGAAGCGTGTTACTGGAGAGCACTGACAGCTCAGAGTGGCTGTGTGTCAGGGACGGGGTGTCGGGGCAGGAGTGGTCTGTGAGGACTTGTGTTTCGGTGCCAGTTGCCTGTGGAGTGTCTGTGTTTGTGTGTGAAGCTGCTGTCTCTGACAGGGTATGCCCTGACTGAGGTCTGTGAAGCTGCCTTGAGGGTGAGCCTAAAGTTCCTTTTTTTCTTCTGCAGTACTGGGGATTGAACCCAAGTCTGCACACTGCACTACATTCCCAAGCCCTCTGCCTTTCTCTCTTTTTTTAAGACAGGGTCTTGCTAAGTCATTCAGCTGCCCAGGCCGAGCTCAACCTTACTACCCTCCTGCCTCAGCCTTCCAGAGTGCTGGGATTACAGGTGTGCAACAGCATGCCTGGCTCATTTACTGTTCTTGATGGCTATTGGCTCCGAGAGGATGACAGCCACAAGACCCTGCCTGTGTCCAAGAGGGCAGCTGTTGTTGGTGAGATTGTAAGGACTCATCTGTGTCAGAGCTTGTGCCTGTCACCTTAGACAGTGTGGCTGTGTGAGTGTTGTTTCGAGGGTGTGTCTATATGCAGTGGTGCACGAGAACACAAGGCTGTAGTTTTTGAGACTATGTTCCTGAGTATTATTTGTGAGGGTATAACTTATCTGAGTGGGTCAAGAATTTTTTGTGACTGTGCAAAAGCATAGCATTTTTTTTTTTTTTTTTGGTACCGGGGATTGAACTCGGGTCCTTGTGCTTGCGCAGCAGGTGGCAAAACCACTGAGCTAAATCCCCAGCCCAAGCATAGCATTTTTGGAGAGCCCAAGCCCATGGTTACCATTTGTAAGACTGTACATAAAAGTACAGCTATTGTCAATAAAAGTACGGATCTGTGTGTATTGTCTGGGAGACTGCCTGTGTGCATCTGTTCAGTGTGTGTGTAAGAGTGTGTATCTGGCCTGTGGTTGGCTGTGTGAGTCTGTGTGTTGCCTGGAAATATGTGTCCAGATGCATCCTATTGGTGTGAATGAACAACTACAGTGGACCCCCAAGTTAATGGCCTGACATATGAACAACTTGGGTTATTACTGGAGTTTTAGCTTTAACTTACAAAGTCTTGAGTTACAACCTGAATGCCTGCCACTTGTGCTTCCAGATGGTCTCATATACAGATTTAACCCTTAAAGAGTTCTGGAAGGAACATTACAACATCCTTTCCTATATGGGGTTAATTGAGAAATCATGGGCCAGTGTCTCTCTAAGAACACTGAGATTTGCCTATATACAGGAGAGAGACTTTGAAGGCTGTGTAAGGAACCTGAGCCTTCAATTGACCAACTTGAGTTACAACCAGCACTAGGGAACAAATTGAGTTAGAAAGTCAAGGGTCCACTGTACTTACCACATCTTTATGTGTGGCTGTCACATTAACAAGAGTGTGTGAATGTGAAAGACCATTGCCTGTGTATCTGACTGTACATCTGTAGCTGAGTGTGTGTGAGGATGTTGGTGTGTGTGTGTGGATGAAGAGACTTTGATGGTCACCGAGTGCGCATGGAAGGTATTTGAGGGCGTCTGCTCATGAGTGCAGTTAAGCCTGTGTGATGTGGGAACAGTTCTTCTGATCATGCTAGGCCACCCATACACCTCCAGCCCCTACCCCTTCCCAAGCTGGTCACTCACCTGACTCCGTCCTGAAGGTTTCAGGGGGCCCCGGGGCCCCACAGGGGGCTGGGGGCAAACACTGTTCAGGCCTCCTGGGTCCGCCCTGCCCAAAGGAGGGAGAAGAAGGTGAGAAGTTTGGGGTGGAGTTCAGTCCCATACCTTGCCCCCCTACACCCACACCCACCTTGGACTTCAGCCAACCCCCTCCATTTCAGACTGCCTGGTGAGAGCCCTGGTTGTCATAGCAGCTGTTACCAGGGAGACCAGCTACCTTGTTCTGAGGGTCCAGGAAGAGTAGATGTGTTTAGGGGGTAGGCATTGTTGGAGATGTGCTGGCCTCAGGAGGCCCTCAATACCTAAGGGGATGGATGGCGTGAGGGGAGTGGCTCTGCCCTCTGGATACATGCCCAGGACTACACACAAACATAGTCACACATATGTAGCCAATGCATGTCTACAGTTGTCCTTAACACTGGGTTATAGCTATGCACACTTAGTTACACAGACACATGACAGCTCCAGGCTTCAGGTCACACAGAGACACAGAAATAGTCAGGGCCACAGACAGCTTGGCCACATGTTCATGTTCTCAGACACACATAGCTCTACCACAGACTTTCGTCCACATACATATGGACTCCCCAGCCTGCCTAGGCCCCTCCACAAATACCTGGTCAGCCAGGGACTGATACTTGGTTACTCCTATTTTCTCAGCCACATACAAAGTGCTGGGCTCAGGCACACCCACAAGGACTCACAGGTACAACCGCACCCAGTGACAGTTGTGTTTCCTCGGGTGCCACCCAAGAAACCCATGTTACAGCCCCTCCACCCCCAAAAGAATCACACCCCATCTGGGTTCACCCATTTGGCCACCTGTAAGCACCCACTCTCACACTGACATAGTCACAGCTACATACACTTGTCACACACATTTCCAGTGCTGCACACTGACATCTGGATGCACATAAACGGACTGATGAAGATTTGGTCTTTCAGAGCCCACACAGCCACACACAGCCACTGCCACACATCGACAGTCAACATCAGCTGTATCAGTCTCACCAACACACCTTGTATGGTCGCACACTGTCACACAGTCACACATGTCCAGTGTTAGCTGCTCACATCTGGTGACCATATCTGTTACAGAGTGCTCTGTGATGGTCACACTTGTATGACGCTGTACACAACCACACGCAGACATACTGACGGCCTTGGCCCACGCAAGACACAAGACGGGCATACATATGCAAGGCACAGCATACACCCACCCAGAGACAACCCCAAGCATGGCCACCCTCAGACCCAGCCGAGTACATCCCCAAAATGGTCGTACATGTATGCACAGGCACACAGCATCAGTGTCCACGTTACCCAGCCATCTCAGTGTCCCATACACAGCTGTACCATGTCACACCATCACAAAAACATAACTCTTTCTTCCTTCAAACACACAAGTCACATTGGCAAGTATGTGTGGCCCTATGTGTAAAGTCATAGCCCACCTATATACATAATATCTCACACACAGAGACATACGTACAGTTCCCGTTTCCCACATTACAAGTACATAGTCAGGTGTATGGACAGAAATTCAGTGACCTAGACATAGCATTTATTGCCATTTGACACAGAAGTCATGGTCTCTGACAGAGCCAGGTGCAGTCGGGGTCCAGCCAGCTCATCAATTCACAGACTCAAACACACATGGTCTAGCATGCACACATACACAGACTAGTACACAGACATACACAGCCACCCAGGATCACAGGTACATGGGTCACACATGCACAGGAAAATACCCACAGTCACACACACACATGTACATAAACACATCCATAGCTTGAGTCAAAATAGCCAAGCGCAGACACCGAGTCAAATCCATAATCCCCCTCAAAAAACACAAATTCATGGCCCAAGTCACACATACAAGGGTGTACATATACAGTCACTCACAATTACACACACAGCTAGACATCATTTATACAGTCCCAGTCACGCGCAGCTGAAAATATACAACCACTGCCACACACACTGCCATCATACAATTCCAGTCACACAGGCACAATGTGACTTCAGATACGGTGGCAGTCACATACCCAGAGCTACACAGTACTGTGTCACACACATATATACAAAATCAACTCAGACACAACCACAACATTCTCACAGTCACTAGGAGTGTCACACATGGACATGGAGCCATAGACACAACTCCACTTATCGTCACAACTCCACCCACACCTTCAGTCAGTCACATACATGCCTGTCCCCAGACTCAGCACACACACTGTCATATACCAAGGCACACAAACACGGGGTCACAAAAGACATAACCATAGACAAAATCCCACAGTCACAACCATGCACCCACCCAAATACAGACAGACTAAAATGTGGAGGGTCTGCACACACAGTGAGCAGTCATCTTTCACACATACATAATCACATGAATACTGGGCTCACACACAGACACCACCACCTACCACCACAGCACACAAACATACAACACAGGATCCCTCAGTTACCAGCTGCAGTGCATGCACACATACAGCCACAGTCACACAAACATGGGGTCACACTCCTAGCCACCTCCCTGTCTGTTGCTTCCACCCTTCCCTCTAGGTACCACACACAAAGCCGCCTGTCACCACCACAGATGCTGCAGACAGACAGGGTTGCACCGGGTCCCTGGGGATCTGCCCCCAGCCCAGCCTGAATCCTGGAGCCTGGGGGGCCGGGTCGGGTAGGGAAAGCTGTGCATTGTCTATGGGCAGGGCCTCTCTTGGATAGCTGGGCAGACCTAGGGACAAAAGGGGTGGCTTGGAGGACCTGTGCCCTGGGAGGAGGGCTCCTAAAATTTTCCTCATTTTATTCAGGCTGGGACAGGGTGGGGTCCCAGGCAGAGGGAGAAGGGGATGTGCCTGGGACACCGCCCAGGGACTGGAAGGAGGCTGTACCCATGACGCCTCTGAGGCCTAGGGGCAGGCAGTGCTTGGAGTCCCTCCAGGCCTAGGCTTGGTGGGGAAGCTGAGCTGTTCAGAGGGACCCCATTCTCAAGACCCTACCTCGGGCGTTGTTGTGCTGAGATTTCCCTGTCTCCCAGTAGGGAGGGAGAGGGACTGTGTCTGGAACTGCCTCCTGGAGGCCTTGGCTTCATATTGGGGCTGTGTCCCGCACCCGGTCCCCGAAACCTTGCCTGGGAGTTGTACCTAGAATCTCTGTACCCCTGTTTTTGATGGGCGAGGGGGTGTCTTGTGCCGAGGATCCGTTTCCTGAGGTTTGGCAAGAGATGGCCTATGCCTGAGACCCTGTCTCCCCGGCTTTGGCTCACTGGGGACCTGTTCTTGGACCCCCACCCTGGACCACCCTCTCCAGCATTGGCAGCCTCTCTCCATCCGGGAGCCGCGGCTGCCTCCCACCCTCCGCCACATCAGCAGCGGCGCCGCCCCCCGACCCGAGCCCCCTCTCCTGCCCTTCTCACGCTGGCCGCCGCGCTGCGGGACATCCAGGGCCCGGGTGCCCCCGCCTCCCGCGGCCCCTGCTGGGCCCGGCTTCCCGGGTGCTGCTGCTCCTGTGGCGGAGGCTGCGGCGGCGGCAGCTGGGTCTGACGCGGGCCCGAGGCCGGGGGATGGTGCGGGATACACGCGCGCGAGCCAGCTCCGCTCGCAGGAGGATTCCGTTCCGGGGGCGGGGGAGCGTCCCACCCGCCTCGGCGCCCCGCCCCAGCCCCACCCATTGGCCCTCCGCCTGCTGTATATGCAAAAGAACCCGCCCTTTCCAACCCACAGGCCATGCCCACACAACACACAACCCCGCCTTCTCCGGTGCAGCCACCGCCCCGCCACGCCCACTGGCTGGGCCTCGAGCGTGCTGTAAGCTTCGCTGATTCCTCCCTTAGGTCCGTTGTGGAGCGGGATCCTTTGCCTTCTGTGACCCCGACCTCAGATCCCCTTCAGTTCTGAAAGAACTGCTTTAGGAGGCTCCTTGTTGTCCCTCGTCCCCAAATCTCTGCTAACCCCACGGTTCTCCCAGCCCGGCGGGGGCGGGCAGAAGCGGTGACAAGGCACTTTTTGCAAAGAGGGGGCGGGGGCGCGAACAGACCTAGCGTCCAGGAACGCGATCCATTTAGCTTGCGGGTCGGGGGCCCCGGGATGGGACTGAGGCGCTTTTCTGGCCGCCGCTGTGTCCGCCTCCTACCCTCACCCAGTCCCGTGGGTTTGGCAGAGCAGCTGGCAGGGGCATCGGGGTCCATTAGCGAAGGCGAGGTTTCTGGGAACATGGGAAAGACGTTTAAAGCCGGGAGGCCGAGTGTGTGGTGGGGGGCGCTTCTCAGCTGCCACAGCCCTTTGAGCAGGTGGTCAGCACGTGGGGCTGGGGGAGGAGGATCCCGGCAACAGATGGCCCAGGCAAGGCTGGGGATTTCTGAGGAAGGGGCGCACGCCAGGTGGTAGAGGGTTTGACCATCTGCACCTGGCCGCCTGTGAGCTCCTCCCCCTCAGCGCAGAGAAAAGAGGTGGGGGAAGGGGAGGGTCGCTTTTATTCGGAGGGAAGGTTCAATCCCCACTCCTCGGATACACAAGAGTCTGGACCGGAGAGAAGGCAGCTGGTGGAGAAGGGGAGGCAAAGGTGAGGCTATCGCCACTGACCATCTCTCCCCTTCACCAGCTCCCGGGAGGCCTGAGGCAGAGGTGAGTCAAAGGCTCCCTCAGATGTCAGAAATCAGTTAAGCAGTTCCCTGGCCTACAGTTCCCAGATGCCCACTTTGGATGGGAGGAGCTGTGAATTGGGAGTACCCTAGGCCCAGGTTCCTAAGATCCTGGGCCAAGGAGGGGAGCTAGGCAAGACAGGAAGCCTCGGGGCCTCCCCAGGCCAGGCGTGGGATAGGAGGGAGGTGCCACAGCAAGGATGGCCTGCTGTGGAGCTGGAATCCCTGGATGGAGGCTGCTATGGGGTCCGAATGGAGGTTCTCTGGTCAGGAGGCTTCTGGCAATGGCTGTGCTTGGCGACTGGCCCAGTATCGATGGTAGGTGTCCTGGAAGAGGTCCCGACAGGCAATGTGGGCGTGGAGTCGGGCACAGGCCAGGAAGGCCCCTGCCAGCTTGCGGTGCAGGGCATAGGTCTCCTCAGGTGGTGGGCGCAGCCGGTGCTGCAGCAGCACTGGGATGAGGCCCTGTATCCGGCGGGCAGTGTCCCCCACCCCGAAGTCGTAGGGGCCAGGGTCAGCGAAGGGCTCCCCCAGGATCATCACCGCTTCCACATGGGCATCGGAGAATGCCTAGGGGTGGGGACAGGAGATGCACCTAGATGTAGGGTCCTCCACTTACCCCAGAAGAGACAAGCAATCCTCAGCCCCCCAAGAGTATAAGAGCTCTGGCAGACAGCAGATCCCTCTTACCACTGCCCCCATGAGCCCTGGCTTCCTCTCAGAGCCTCCTAGACACGCAGCCCTCCTCTCCCTGATCCCAGTACCGATTAACAACACCCCCTCTAGAGCAGGTAAGTCGTGCCTGTTCTCTCAAGTTCCCAGAATAGTCAGCCAGTCATATCCCCCACTCCTCCCCAGACCCCCAGTATACAGCTGCCCACTCTCGGGGTACAGATGTGGCCTCCATTCTCCCCAGCAGAGACAAGTCCCATCCATTCCATCTCCAACCCTTCGGTAGAGACTGGCAGCTCCCCATCCCCTACTCTCCCAGTGTCACCCAACCTTGGTTTCAAAGCCTGTGAGGAATTTAAGGTCCTGGGATTTCTGTAGGACACGGTCTTTGTCTCCATCAGCTGCAGCCTTCACCACCTGGAGAGATGGGTGTGGGTGAGGCAGGGGACAACAGCCGATCAGGAATCGAGGATTCTAGAGGACAGGGACCTCCTGGACCAACCTGGGTCCACCTGTTTTCCTCTACCTGGGTACTTCCTCTTGCCTAGGAGCTTCTCCCTTCACCTCTGGGTATGTCTCCCTCAAGACTGTCCCAGAGCCTTAGGGTAGAGGTGGTCAGGGGCTCTGTCCACTTGGCTGGGAATCCAGAGGTGCATGGAAGCCACCACAGTGATGTGCACAGAGAAAAATAAGCGTCAAGGCTGCTTATGGGTCCAGGCGCAGCTGGACAAGGATGTGACCATGACCTGGAACTGTGTGCCCTTGGTGAAACTTACTTTAGTAAATCAGGGGGCAGAGCTAAGGACTCCAGCTATGTGCTCAAAGAGGGAGGCTGGGAGTTCCCTGGCCAGCTTCCCTGGGCTCCCTCACAGATCTGCTGCTGGCTGGCAGCAGAAAGACACAGCCTGGACCAGGCACGCTGCTTTGCTCCAGAGCCTCTGCTTTCTCATTTGTGAAATGGGGCTGTTGTGAAGACAAGGAAGGTGACACCTATGGAGTGCTCAGCACATACTATGAGTCGCTCTTCTGACTAAGGGCTGGATGTGCGGGTTCGCACTTCACAAAAGAGGAAATGGGCTAAGTGGGGACTGAACTTGAATTCAGTCCTCTCTTTGGGGGAGGAAGAATACAGGATTACTCAGGCAGTCCTGTTCTCTCAGCTCTTCCATCCATGCCTGTCTGGCCATCTGTCAGGCCTTGGTCCTTAGGGGCTCATGTGACAGGGCTTTTTTAAACTGGAAAAGGCTAAGCAGGATGTTCCAGCTACTCAGAGGTTTGTGTCCCAGGTAGCCTGCAGGGAGGGCCCCATGGAGCCTGTGTGTGAGGTTGGAGGGTACCAGCTCCTCCTCCCTGTCCCGTCTCAGGGGTGGCCTGATGAGTTCTTGGGCCATGGGGATACAGTACAAGCTGCAAAGCTAGCCTCTGAGCCTCAGAGTGATCTGGCTGCCCAGTCTGAACATGGATTTCCTTTTGGTTTTGTAGGGCCCTGCCACTGGCAGCACTGACATCATCTGGAGCCTGTGGGAGATGTGGCATTTTAGGCCTAACTCCAGGCAAGAACCTGCATTTAACAGCATTGCCAGGGCTTCCCGTCCACATTAAAGTTTAAAAGCACTGTTCTAACGGGACCATCCCTTGTTGCCACTTGACCTTTGCACATGTTTATCTGGAATACCCTTCTAGCCTCCTCCTGATTGGTCCTCCTCATCTCTCAGGTCTCAACCCATGTCTCCCCCTCCAGGAAGTCTTTCCTGACTCCCCAGGCTAGTCAGGCCTCTGGGCTCTCACAGCCCCCGCCCTTCCCCCATCCCAGCCGTGAACCCCCAGGTCCTCACTGTCTGTCCTGACACTGGACTGTACACTCACTCTATGAAAGTGGGGATTTAGCTTGAGTCTAAGTCATTATTTATCTCCTATATCATCCAAAATAAGACTGGGCACAGAGATGGTTTCACCAAATGTTTGAACTGATGGCTATATGATTAGAAGACCCAGGCTGAACCCCTAAGAGCCGGGGATTTAGCTCAGTGGTTCCACCATCTGCCTTGAAACTGCAAGGTCCCGAGTTTGATCCCCAGTACCAAAAAAAAGAAAGAAAAGAAGACCCAGGCTGAGTTGGATATGGTGGCACATACGTACGATCCCAGCCTGAGCTCTTAAGAGATTGAAGCCCTAAGTTCAAGCCTTGCCTGAGCAACTTTGTGAGACTCTCCTCAAAAATAAAAAGGGCTGGGGATGTAGCTCAGTGTGAAGGCCCTGAGTTCAATCTTCAATACCACAAAATGAACAAACACCAACAAAAAAGACCCAGGGTGAGTGTCCAATCTGAACAAATCAATGAGATAGTGTTCTCTGTGGTCTCTGAGACAAACTGACCCCAACAGGTGTGAGACAGGCAAAGAAGGAAGCACTTCCTAGGCCAGGCTTCCTGTGGTGCACAGGCTGCACACCAAGGCCCTGGACAGGGTGGCTCTCAGATGTCTCAGGTGGCCCTGGACAGGTCTGGACCCAGACTACCTGAGTGTGACTTCTAGGTCTGCTAGGATCTTGGTCAACCTGTCTAAGCCTCAGTTATTTCATATGTAAAATGGGGCTAGAAGTGGTCCTGACCCCACAGAGGTGCTACATGGTTTCCATCACTTATTACACCCAACAACCTTAAAACAGTGCCTGACGTATTAAGTGCTTGGTATTTATAAAAGCTGTTAATATTAAGATTATTTATTATCTCTTAATTCCAGATGCTGTGTTTCTCCTTCTTACCCCTTTGCCTCAGTATCTAGCTTGAGCCTCCCATTCAGAGGTGCCAGGGTCAGGAGGACTCACCTCAATGTAGTGGTCTGTGAACTCTGTCCCAAATTCCTGGCTTGCACCAAAGTCCAACAGGGTCACCTGAGAAGGAAGAATGGTGAGAGCAACCCCAGGAGACCTTGATACCCCACTGTCTACTGGGGTAACCAAGACCCATCTCTCCTTTTCATAGCGCTGCTGGATCCTGACAGAGGCCTCGCCCAGGTGCCTTCTGCGGCTCTGTCTCCAGTCTCCATGCTACATCTCTAGCCTTTTCTCA